ACTCAAAAAGTGAAAATAAAATAGTAACAAAATGCTATTTTTCATCTTTCACATTAGAAAAGATCACGAAGCTTGCTAATGTTGGGAAGAGACTACAATGTACTTTAATGGGAGTATTAAATGGAACAAAATCTCTGAAATTCGTAATATCTCTAAAAATAAAAAATGCATGAATTCCTTCATCCAGCTATTTAACTTAGAGAAATTAGCCTACAGAAATACTCTCACATATGCAAAAGATAAAAATATATGAATAGTTACTGCCATCAACTTGGCAAAAGAGAAAAAGAAGAAAGCAAAATCAAGCTGGAAATAAATTAACCACTGATTACTTCTTCTTGTTGTTAGGTGCCACTGAGTCGGGCCTGAATCATAGCAACCCCATACACAACAGGACAAAACACTACCTGGTACTGCATCATCCTCACAACCCTTGCTATACTTAAGCCCATCAGTGCTGCCATTTTGTCAATCCATTTTGTTGAGGGTCTTCCCCTTTTTGGCTGACCCTCTTTTTACCAAGCATGATATCCTTCTCCAGGCAATGGTCCCTTTCTGACAACATGACCAAAGTAGGAGAGACGAAGTCTGGCCATTCTCTTTTCTAAGGAGCATTCTGGCTGCACTTCTTCCAGGGCAGATTTGTTCATTCTTCTGGCAGCCCATGGTATTTTCAGTATTCTTCACCAACACTAAAATGCAAAGGCATCAACTCTTCTTTGGTCTTTCTTACTCACTGGCCAGCTTTCACATGAATATAAGCTAGGTGATAACACCATGGTTTGGGTTAGGTGCAACCTCAGGTTCAAAGTGACATCTTTGCTTCTTAACACTTTTAAGAGGTCTTTTGCAGTACATTTTCCCAGTGCAATACAACGTCTGATTCCTTGCCTGCTGCTTGAATGGGTGTTGACTATGGCATTTTTGACAAGTTCAATTTCTTTGTCCTTTTTTTGTGATTACTGGTCCAGTTGTGAAGATTTTTGTTTTACGTGGAGCTGTGATCCATACTGATGACCTTCTTTGATGTTCATCAGTAAGTGCTTCGAGTCATTTCCACTTTCAGTAAGCAAGGTTGTGTCATCTGCGTACCTCAGGTTGCTAATGAGTCTGTTATCCTGATGCCATGTCCTTCTTCATATAGTCTAGCTTCTCAGATTATTTGCTCAGAATACAGAATGAGTAAATATGGCAAAAAGACACAACCCTGATGCACACTCTCCCTGTTTTTAAACCATGCAGTATTCCCTTCTTTGAATGACAGCCTCTTGATCCAGGTACAAGTTCCTCATGAGCCAATTACGTGTTCCGGAATTCCCATATTTTTGCAACGTTATTCTTAACATGTTATGATCCATACAGTCGAATACCTTTGCATAGTCTGTAAAACACAGGTAAACATCTTTCTGGTATTCTTCGCTTTCAGCTAAGATCCATCTGACTTCAGCAATGACAGCCCTCATTTCACGTCCTCTTCTGAATTCAGCATGCATTTCTGGTATGATATACTGTGGCAATCATTTTTTAATTATCTTCATCAAAATTTTACTTGCATGCGATACTGATACTGTTCAATTATTTCCACATTCTGTTGCACCACCTTTCTTTGAAATGGGCACCAATATCGATCTCTTCCAGTCAGTTGGCAAAGCACCTGTCTTCCAAATTTCTTGGCATAAATGAGTAAGCGCCTCCAGCACTGCAGCCATTTATTGAAACATCTCAATGTGTATTTCTGTCAATTCCTGGAGCTTTGTTTTTCGCCAATTCTTTTAGTGCAGCTTGGACTTCTTCCTTCAATATCATTGGTTTTTGATTGTATGCTACCTCCTGAAATAGCTGAACATTGACCAATTCTTTTTGGTACAGTAACTCTGTGTATTCCTCCCATCTTCTTTGATGCTTTCTACATCATTCAATATTTTGCCCATAGGAATCTTCAATATTACAATTCAACACTTGGAGTTGTTCCTCAGTTCTTTCAGCTTGAAAAATGCTTAGCGACTTCTTCCCTTTGGTTTTATAACTCCAGGCCTTTGCACATTTCATTGTAATACTTTACTCTGTCTTCTTGAGCTGCTCTTTGAAATCTATTCAGCTCTTTTATTTCATCATTTCTTCCAATTTGCTTTAACTACTCTCTGTTCCAGAGCAAGTTATAGTCACTTCTAACATCCATTTTGGGCTTTTCCTCCTGTTTAAACGACCATATGCTTTCTTCATGTATTATGTCCTTGATGTCATTACACAATTCATCTGGTCTTCAGTCACTGGTGTTCAATGACTTAAATCTATTCCTCAGATGGTATCTAAATTCAGATGGGATATAATCAAGGTTTTATTTTGGCTCTCATGGACTTGTTTTAATTTTCTTCAGCTTCAACTTGAACTTCCATGTGAGTGATTGATGGTTTGTTCCACAGTTAGTTTCTGGCCTTTTTTTGACTGAAGATATTGAGCTTCTCCATCACCTCTTTTCCACAGATGTAGTCAATCTGATTCTTCTGTATTCCACCTGGCAAGATCCATGTGTATAGCAGCCACTGTGTCTGTTGTTGGAAAGGTATTTGCAATGAATAAGTCATTGGTCTTGTAAAATTCTATTATGTGACCTCCAGCATCATTTTTATCATGAAGGCCATATTTCCCAACTACTGATGATTGTTCTTTTTTTCCAATTTTTGCATTCCAATCACCAGTAATAATCAATATATCTTGATTGCATGTTCTGTCAATTTCAGACTACAAAAGTTGGTAAAAATCTTCAATTTCTGCATCTTTGGCTTAAGTGGTTGGTATATAAGTTTGAATAATAGTAGTAGTAACTGGTCTTTCTTATAGGTGTATGGATATTACCCTATCACTGACAGCACTGTACTTCAGGATAGATCTTGAAACATTCTTTTTAATGATATAGGCCACATTCCTGGTATAGTAGACCATATGACTGTCTGATTCAAAATGATCAATACCAGTCCATTTCAGCTCACCAATGCCTAAGATACTGATCTTTATGTGTTCCATTTCCTTTTTGACAACCTCCAGTTTTCCTAGATTCATCCTTTGTATGTTCCACGTTCTGATTATTAATGAATGTTTTCAACTGTTTCTTCCCATTTTGAGCCATACCCCCTCAGTAAATGAAGGTCCAAAAAGCTTTACTACATCCATGTCATTATGTTTGTTGCCTCTACTTTGAGAGGGTATTTCTACTCCAGTCATATTTGGAGTACCTTTCAACCTGAGGGGCTCATCTTTCTGGCACTATATCAGATAATGTTTCACAGCTATTCATAAAGCTTTCCAGTAATACATCAGCCAGTGTTTGACTGCTATTCATAAGGTTGTCACTGGCCAGTTTCTTCAGAAGTAGCTGGGCCCGCTCTTCCTCCCAGTCTATCTTAGTCTAGAATATCCACCAAAACCTGTCCACATGCTGGTATTTGAAATACCAGTGGCATAGCCTCCAGCCTCACAGCAACACGCAAGCTACCAAAGTATGACAAACTGACAGATAAGTGGTGGCACTGTTTAGTAGGTATCCAATTTAATCAATTTTTATATATTCCCCAATGGAATACTATGAAGTCATTAAAAAAAGGCCATTTATTATGGGCTTGTATAGAATTATTTCTGAGATATGTTAAGAAAATATAGCATGATGAAAAAGTGTATATAGTTCATTCTTTTTGTGTACAATGATAGGTGTGTGGGTGTCTGATTTGTGCACATGCATTGAACTTCTCTAGAAAATTCTACAAGAAACTGGTAATTGGAGTTGCTTCTGGAGAGTAACACTTTTCACTGCATACTATTTCATTCTTTTAGAATTTACCTTGTCTATGGATATCTTATAAAATATTGTTTAATATTGTATTTAAGAATACTAAATAAACTAATGAAATTATACGTCCTCAACAGTATTCTATTACTTAGACTGCCTGTTGCTTTGTTGTTGTTGTTGTTATGTGCCGTCAAGTCAAACCCGACTCATAGCGACCCCTCCTTGGGTTTCTGAGGCAGTATCACTACGTAAGTAGGATTGCCCAACCTTCCTTAAATAGTGCAGTTTGATTAAATTTTCAAAATAAATTTATGAAAGTAGTTTCCTACTTTCCAGCGAAAAAAGCAAAGGCAGATTAGTTTCGTAGACTGAACTATATAAAACTGCAAATATTCAACATTCTTGAAAAGTAAGTTATTTCACAATCTTGCACAGACTGTGAGGCTGGCACAGGACCAGGCAGGGTTTCGTTCTGTTGTACATAGGGTCGCTAAGAGTCAGGAGCCACCTCAATGGCACCTAACAAGTTATTTCTCATAGTTCAAGTTATGATATACGTATAGACCCTACATTAAAGACTAATCTACTAGCCTGTGTTGCCAATTACCTATATGCTCTAGGCTACTCATTATCTGTGAAATGGAGAAGACAAAAGAAAAGACTTAAGGAATATTCAAAGTATTAAATGGAGTAACACAGGTAAAGACCTTTGAACAGTGCCTGATACATAATAAAGTATAAATACCAATTACTATTATATCATCTCATCATTGTTACTATTATCAATATCATCATTATTACTACCACCACCATTATTACTATTTCTATCACTGCTACAGCCCAAAGAGTTTAGTTAGCCATTCATTAAAGGCCTCCAAAATCTGCTTTCATCTAAATAGGCAGTATTTAATTAGGGTAAAAGAATACATTAAAATCAAAACCATTTTTCTAATCTAGAATTTTATACAACACTAAAAAACACAGTAGTATTTTAAGTGCAGCCCTTAATAGTTACATGAAATGTATTTGACATATAGTAGGTGGGGGAAGGAATCTTTAATTCTCTCAAATATTCTGGTGTAGTTTGAAAAAACAAAATGTTTACATTTATAAGAAGTCTAGCACTGAACAATATCAACAAGACAAGCACTCTTTTCGTTTGTGGTAGTCATCAAGCTCAAAAACTTAAAAATGAAGAATCAGCATCAAAACTTACCTAAAGGATGATCAGCATAATCTGGTCTTTGAATATAACTTGGCACTGGCCTTGTCGGCATCTAAAACATCAAAGAGGTTAGTTAAAACTGATTCAAACATGCAAGTAACTTTTATTATTAAGATATGGTAACAAAGAAAATAAAATTGGAAGAAAATACTAAAAAGTTTATTCAGAAGTTTCAAAATACGTTAAAATGGCTTCTTAAATATCCTAACAGAGATCTACTTCATTAAGATCATGCTTTCCTTTCCTGATGCTAATGCCACCCTTTTTATTCAGAATTTTTAAGGGAGACAGTGGTGAAGGCCAGTGAGAATTTAAGATTGCATGTCCATTACCATTGGGTCAGTCAGAAAACATCCATTCTACCCTACCTTATCCTTTAAGAGTAAAAAGAGTTTTCATTCTTTCACCTAAAGTTTTTGCCTCCTTCTTCCATGATTGCTAATTATCTTTAACTTGCAAATAACATACTACAGTTAGTACACAGTTAAAATGAGAGATCCATAGTTAAAATGACAGTTCCTCTGCAAACTTAATCCCAGATTACAGGGTTCATTATTGGAATAGGAATAAAGAGTGTCTTCTTTTTTTTTTTTTAGGAAACTGAAAATTCTAAAAATTGGTTTACAAGAATGTTGTGTTCTTATTACCTTATTTACTCACCAGTGGATAATGTGGCCTGAGTTTACCAGTATATCGATAGCCCGCCCATGGGTCAGTGTTAATATCCCCTTCTACGGTCCAAGCAGAAACTTCTCGCTTTGCCTTTTCATCTTCTGATAAATAGACAGACATAAATAATGTATACTTCTCTCTTCAGTGCTCAAGCTACTGATCATTAGCACACTTTAATTAAAAAAAAAAAAAATCAAGCCAGAGAGCCTAGGCACAAAAAACAAAAACAACAACAGCAAAAATAACTTCCATCCTAAATTAAATCTATACTTATTGCTGTACTCACAACTTTTATGACTCCTTGTGTCGTGGAAGAAAAACCCTAAGCTAAACATATTGTAAATTTTCTCATACAATATTGAATAGGAATAGCTTACAGAACTTCTTTTCTCAAGTAAATACTATATGCACTCCCTCTACAATGTCAATTTATAGAAAACTCATTTTAAAATCTGAGTCCTAGCAAAACCTTGTGTTCTGGTTACCTAGTACCACTCTGACAGGAATATACCACAAATGGGATGGACTTATCAAACAGGAGTTTATTCTCTTATAGTTTGGGAGGCTAAAAGTCCAAATTCCAAGTGCCAGGCTCTAGGGGCTAGGTGAAAGCCCTTCAACCCTAGGGTTCAGCTCTGCCTCTTGCTCCCAGCCCACTAAAGCTAGAGGCATCTTCTTCTCTCAGGCAGCTACTGGCTGCTGAAGCTGACAAGCCCAAGGTTCACAAATAGAATGGCACAGTCTCAATTTTACCAAACTACATGGCAGGCCACTCATTCAAGTCCACTGAAAGTCCCAAGGTCGGCAGAGCATGGCAGGCTGCTGAGCAATGACACGGCTACATACAGGGTTCAAGGGTGCTATAAGCTAGAGACCACTCCCAAAACTGCTGCTTATATAGGGGAAGCAGACCACATACTCAGAGCAGCTACTCAGCTGCTTGTGGTAGACCCTACTATGGAGCTGACTGCCAGGCTCATCATGGTGAGTAACTACCACCAGCTGCCCAGCCACTCAGCCAGGCCAACCAAGTTGATGTACAACTTTGACTACCACACCTTGCCTACTGATTATAGATATTTCAAATGAGTTTTGTGCTCTTACTGAAAGAACAGGTTAGGGTCTATGTACCCCTAAAGAAAATTTAAAGTCAAAAATAAAAATTTCCCCTTGGCTGATGAATGTCTTTTAAGTCAATCTTTTAAATTGCTTTGGAAATATTAGGAGCATCATTTGCCTCTTCAGAAAGTGGCTAAAAGGAGGCAGGAGAAAGGTAGGAAGGGAACAAAGATCTGCTGAAAGTTACTGACAACTCAGTAGAAAAACTGAGAAAACAATCTCTCACTACTTACATTCTCTATCTTTCCTTCTCTCATATCCCCACCTGACCATGTTACTTATTAACATATAAAGCTGTGCCTACTAAAATGTACCTAAGAATCATTTTCATACACAACAGATCCTCTGTTGTATCTGATGTCAGCACACTCACTGCACCTCTTATCTACCAAGTAAAATGAAAATATAAACATAAGACTTCAAATAGCAAGAATTCAAGTCTGACCTATAAACCAGCTCCTAATGCACACAACAAAGCTTTTCCTGATCAGTGCCACAGTATCTTAAGTTTTCAAAGTCAGACTTCAAGCTAATTTTAGATGCATGAGAAAAAACAAAAAGTAACTCCCCCTTAAAACAATCCATTAAAAGAAAAAATGAGAAAGAGTAGATAAAATCATATAATGTTATGCTAGAAAGGATGTTAAAAACAATTTAATCTAACTTCCTCATTTTACAGATGAAGAAACTGAGGAGATCTGGTTTATGTGAGGCAGAGTGATGTGGGAATGCTGGTCCAGTACTCTCTCCACATAGCACAAAGTCAACTTCAGATGAAAGGCCTCTGAGGGGCAATTGACAACAATATGTCAGTATAACCAATACATTCACACTGCCCTTGAAGAGAATACATTTAAAATATTACACACTTATAATACTACATATAAAGTAAAGGAAAAGATGGGAAGGTTCTGTTATGCTACTGAATTTTAAATTTCTTTCACTCCTTTGCAGTTAAAGAAAGTCACTGTGAAAGTTAATGTCAACAGGAAAACTCTTCTCACCCCAATACAGTAATGGACTCTAGGGCCAAACATTATAGAAAATAGTTCAAAATGCAGACCAACAGATGCCTGCTTTAGCTTTCAATTGCATCAAGTAATTTTGTCTGAAGCACAAACCTCATGAGTAATTTTCATCTGAAACCTAGCACAGAATAACAATCAAGATGCAGGCTTTTTGCTTAGTGCACTCCTGGGAAAGGAGCAGCAAGAGGGAGAGACTGTAAAACCTTTCAAAGATTCCTGTTGACCTGAATGCCTGGCCTTTCACAATCTATTTTCAAGAGAGAATTGTAAGCAGACCTTGAATAAAGAATATAACCCAAAATCTACCCACAGTAGTAAGACTGAAATATGACAAGCTCTTTTCTAAACTCTAGGTATAATTTACTTCTGAAAATTTATACTTCAAAAGTCAGTTTTAAAGGATCAATCTGATTTGAATCCTAAGTGCTAGATAAATAGTTGACTTGTAATCAATCTGAATTGAACCAGGGATTGAAAACAAAATTGCATACTAATTGATCTTTTATAAAAGACCGTGAAAGCATAGGACAGTGTAAATACCTGTCAGCTGTTGTCTTTCAATCACAATGCAATAGGGTTATGTAAGCTGCAAAAGTCTGACCCAAAGTGCATGATATCCAGGCTTTGACTTTAAAGATTTTATGCAGGCTGGTGCTTTCAGTCACAGAAACAAAGTAACAGCACACGTATAAACTTTGCCTGAGAAAGGTTTTTCTGATGAAAATTCTGACTCAATTTTTCGAGAGACAATTATTAAATACTTCCTGAGTAATAGTTCCATTTAAAAAGTGAAATGGAATGCATAAAGATCAATATCCTAGACATTAGTGAGCTGAAATAGACTGGTTTAAGCCATTTTGAATCAGACAATCATATGGTCTACTATGCTGAGAATGACAAATTGCAGAGAAATGGCATCTCATTCATCATCAAAATGAATGTTTCAAAATCTATCCTGAAGTACAATGAGGTCAGTAATAGGATAATATCCATACACCTATAAGGAAGACAAAGTTAATACTACTATTATTCAAATTTATGCACCAAATACTAAAGCCAAAGATATAGAAATGGAAGGTTTTTACCAACTTCTGCAGTCTGAAATTCACCAAACATTCAATCAAAATGTGTTAATTATTACTGGTGACTGGAAGTCGAAAACAAAGAATCATCACAGGTAGTTGGAAAATATGGCCTTAGTGACACAAATGATGCTAGAGATCGCAAGATAGAATTTTGCAATATCAGTAACTTATTCACAGCAAATATCTTTTTCAACATGAATGGCAGTTATACATGTGGATCTTGCCAGATGGAATATACAGAAATCATATCAACTACAAACAGAGAAGCTCAATATCATCAGTTAAAACAAGGCCAGGAACTGACTGTGGAACAGACCATCAACTGTTCACATGCAAGTTCAAGCTCAAGCAGAAGGAAATTAAAACAAGTCCACAAGAGCAAAAATATGACCTTGAGTATATCCTACCTGAATTTAGAAACCATCTAAGGAATAGATTTGACACACTGAACACCAATGACCAAAACCCAGACAAGCTGTAGGATGACATCAAGAATATCATCCATAAAGAAAGCAAAAGGTCATTAAAAAGACAGGAAAGGAAGAAAAGACCAAGATGGATGTCAGAAAGGCCTCAGAATGGAGAGTAGATAAAGCAAATGGAAGAAATGACAAGATAAAAGAGATGAACAAAAGATTTCAAAGGGCAGCTTGAGAAGACAAAGTAAATTATTACAAGGAAATGTTCAAAGACCTGGAGTTAGAACACCAAAAGGGAAGAAGGTGCTCAGCATTTCTCCAGCTGAAAAAAAATTGAAGAAAACATTCAAGCCTTGAGTTGCAATATTGAAAAGATTCTAAAGGCAAAATATTGAATGATGTAGTAAACATCAAAAGAAGATAGAAAAAATACACAGAAGCACTGTACAGAAAAGAACTAGTCGACATTTAGTCATTTCAGGATGTGGCATATCAAGAACCAATGGTACTGAAGGAAGAAGTCAAAGCTGCACTGAAGGAACTGGTGAAAAACAAGGTTCCAGGAATAGACGGAATACCCACTGAGATGTTTCAACAAATGGAAGGCTTTTACTCATTTATGCTAAGAAATATGGAAGACAGCTATCTGGCCAACTGAATAGAAGAGGTCAATAAGTGTGCCCATTCCAAGGAAAGGTGATTCAGCAGAATGTGGAAATTATCAAACACTATTATTAATATCACACCCAAGGAAAATTTTGCTGAAGATACTCAAAAACAGTTGCAAAACCTGACAATAATGAGAACTTACTATGTGCCATACACATTAAGCCCTTCACAGGGATTGAATTATTTAATCCTCACAACAAACTTATAATTTCAGCACTTTGTGAGGCTTAGAGTACAGGTAGTCTCAGATTTTGAACATCTGATTTACAGACAACTCCTACTCACCCGTTAAGTTTATGTAAATTTGATTAGAACAAATTTAGTTTGAAATTATGAGGAGTCCTGGTGGCACAGTGGTTAAAGAACCTGGCTGCTAACCAAAAGTTTGACTGTTTGAACCCACCAGCTGTTCCATGGGAGAAAGAAGAGGCAGTCTGCTTCTGTAAAGATTTACACCTTTGAAACCCTAACGGGGCAGTTCCAATCTGTTCTATAGGAGCAATATGAATCAGAATTTGCTCAATGATTATTGGGTTTGGTTTTTTGATTTTAAACAACGAATCAACCCTCACTGGCAATAAATTCTTCATTACAGTCACTTTCACTTGCTGCATATGCAGCTTTTAAGTCACTGAAAAGCCTCTGAGCCATTTATTGCACTAAGCCAAAAACCAACCAAACCAACTGCCACTCAGTTGATTTCAACTCATTATGACCCCATAAACAGATTAGAACTGCCCCGTAGGTTTGCAAGGCTGTATACGTACACCTCAGAGATATC